CGGGCGGCAGCGGGGCGGCGTGGGCCGCGCGAGCGAGCTGTTCGCGTGCCCGCCCCGCCGGCGACGGAAGACAATGCGTGACCCAGCCCTCGCCCGCCGGCTGCGCGGAGGCACCCACAGTGTCTCTATCTGGAGGGACTCCCTCAGCGCCGCCGGCCTGCAACAGCTTGCCACAAGAAGAAAGTCAATGCGGGTTCATGGATGGGATCAGACGGATGATCCGCGTCATCCAGTTGAAACAGAATAACATGGGAAGGATCTTATTTAAACCAGGTTCTATAGAAAACTACATTTTTTCTCAATGCCGTAACGTATAAAGTGATTACCGCTCTGCCTGTCTCCTTGCCCTAATGAGCCCAGTCTCTCTGCCGCCTCTCGCGTCTATCGCCGACGACGCGCTCGTTCTATCTTAAACTTAGCATGCATATGGGCCCATCTACTGTAGTCTGACCCTTCATTAATTATGCTACACACTATATCTACATTGTCGTGAATCAGCAAGTCGTGCATTCTGTACCGTAGAGGCTCCGAATTCGGATAGGCCTTATCCTAATAGAGATCGCAAATGCACTAATGTTGACATCGTCTAAAGATTGATAGTTTAGATATTTAGTCATATCTTAATGTTTCGTTATGTAATACTATAACGTTAATATTTACGTTTTATGCAATAATACTCCTACTATATGAACACCATAGTTAAACTTTGAAAAAAATCAAGATTTATAGATTTATAATATGATTTTCGAAGAGACCTACTTTCGATTAGCATTAAAGCAAGAAGCGATGAGTTTACGATAACGAGGATCAATTTATCATTCATTATAATTAATAGAAAAACTTACATAGCTCCAGAATAATATTTTTAGAGTGAATCACTATATCTACGCAGTCTATTGTGTATTAATAGTTACATTTAAATTGACTTTTAGCAAATTATTACACTAAGCTTCTATCTCTTACATTGAAAGTCGATCAAGGTCAATATTACTAATCCTCGAACTATATTATTAGATCCGACGTAATTGGTAAGTACTTCAGCTTCGCGCTGAGTCAGTTTATTTCACTGTTGTTTCAAGTAGTTTATTCAAGTACTCTAAGTATGTCAGACGATGATATACTATCTTTACTTGATTTATTCAATTAGCATAAAATCAATACATGTGTTCGAATTATACCTTAGATCAAACGATGTTGTTCCTTTAGGTATTTTCTACGATTTATGCTCTATTATCCATTATGGTCGTCTATATTTATATTATCCTTATTAATTCCTTTATTTACCGCGTCATATGCTGTGGCAAACTACAACTGCATCCATGTACAAAGTGACTTGTTGCATAGTCGTTAATTACCTCCTGCGTGGTTAAGTAGAGCGATGCACGACCTCCATTTCAATTGACAGCTGCTATATGCCAATGAGCTTATAGCGACTAACCTAGCGCCCTTCGCTTATCTGCTCGATCGAAAACGGTCACTGTACAAGAACGCGAGTAGCCACGTATGTGGACAACAGTGAACTACCAGCTCATTTTCGCGCGCAGATCATCCCTGCTGGATGGCATTTTCCAGGATCTCCTAGCAGCCACATTCGCTCCCCATTCGGATAGTCCAGCAAGAAGCTTCTGTCCTAAATTGTAGTGTCTAGACAATCCGAGGACACATTCAAGACCTTCACAGCTGTATTCTCGATCTTAGAGAACCTATACATTCTAAGAGCAGTAATTCTCAATATCGTAAATGATGATCTATTACATATCTTTACTTCGATGAAACGAGCATACTTATGTCAAGATACTGCGTTACACTGTAAAAGTGATTCTAACACTCATCCAACTAGAGACAGCTCTTTACGTAAGCCATGCTACTCATTCACAGTCTCATTATTGGCGTTTCATCGTTTTGAAGTTGACGCTGTCATTACAATCATTCTTCAGACTACTACGAGAGAAATGAACGAATTCACAACAAATCCGTAACTTTATGCGATATATCTTCAACGTGTCAGGAAAATGCATAGTCTAGAAAGCATTACCACAGTATTCTTAAAGAGAAACAAATATATTCTTTAATCTCCACTCTCATGAAATGAGCCATCGGATAATACTACCTTTCTAAAGGAGATTGGGTTTCTGCTCTAATCGATTTAGTAAATAAACTAGCATTTTCTCTCAGAAATATAGTATGGAAACGATAAAGATCTCACCTGCAGATAATACTTCTTGACACATTTGAATTCCCTGGTTATGCTTAATCCCTAGCTATCGCAGCACATGTGCTAAATTTACAAGAAATATCATAACGCAGCAATGTCCTCGCGAGCTAATGTATAGCGCGGTACTCACATCAAACCGCGTCAATTGGTCAGATCGACTTGTGATATAAGCCGCGCCATCGCGTGACCTCGTTCACCGCCCAAGTAATCACCAGCATAACTCCGGTCATTATGACGTACTACTGCAAGCGCTTCCGCAGTTGCGGGCTCCGCTTCTAGCCACCCGCGGCGGGAGCGCTTACGACTGATCGTAACTCCCGGCGCAGAGGCATGCGGGCGCTGCAGCTGGGACCACAGGCTAGCCTCTCGTAAACAGTGTCGTCAGTGCCGTATATAGCCAGATTCCGTCTACTATCACCCACTGTGCCTCCCCGGCACGCCACCTGCCCACCGTCGCCTGCACGACCCTCATCGACGGCACCCCGCATTCAGCCCCGCCCTGTACGAATTAAACGCCGGCTGACTCACTGACGATCTCTACGCTGAAACAGCGATGCTATACCATAGCGCGCACTAGCCACGGACAATAGATGAGCCGCTTGGGTGAGGACGACACATGGGCTATCTGCAAATGCACACCCAAATAATTATGATGAACCGCCAACTTGTCATCGTCAATCAGATAAGGCTATTTCATGGCTACCACAGCGCCTCCGATAGTGACGTACTATTATATTATACTATATATGTTATCACCTAATACTAAGTGCACAATGCTGAAATAGAAGCCGAACTTAAACTAACTATATATCTATTAGTATATCTATAACGCCGGATTTAAAGCTAATAGCTTCTAATTTTTAGTTCAGAATCTAACTGACCTTCTATGCACTTAATCTCCCATCTACTTAGTCTACGTCATCTATATAAAATTAAACTGATACATTACCAAATCGCCAGTACCTTTTCATAGAGCAACGACCTTACCAAACATAGTCGCATATAATGAAAGTTATTAATTACATTTAATTGCGATGTCTTCTCCATATTGTCAGCATACCATATTACCCTTAGCACGAGAACCTACTACTCTGATTAGGATTTCTCTACATCGATAACTCAGTAAAGCATATTTAATTCAGTAAAGTGTTAGTTGCGTGACCAGTCAGTGATTTCCCCACCCATTTCGATCGAATAACTATCAAAAAATGGAATACTTACTACGTAAGTTACACTCCGCATGTGTGAAATTTATTATTACTGTCTCGCCGAGTCGCTACGCGCCGCGACGTTGCTACACATCTGCCATCCACTCCAACTCATATCCACTTCATATTCTCTACAACTCACAAAGATCGCGATCATCTCTACGTCCCCCGCTTCGACAAACTACCATTCTTACTCAAACCTCACATCGAGCAGAGAAGCTATACTTAACGCCACAGTGTAGATATATTACCATGATGCATCAGAGATCTAACCCACTTACCAGTATACAAATCCGTAATTATCTTATGACCGTTAGGTGTCAACTATTAGGATTAAAATTGTCTCTATTCAGATATTTACTACTGATACACTGCTGAACTTAATAAAATATCAGAATGAACACACGTCTGATTTTTGTCTATCAGTCATACTAGCATTCTCGAAGAAAATTTCGTACCACGCTATAAATCAATATACTTAGCTACTATAACTATATAATTATATAATGATAAACAGTTTACAAAGAGAATACTATATAACAATGAACATATCATATATATTGGTAAAAAAGTATGACTTACTCAAATCATTCACACTATCCTATTCATACTCCATCTATTCTGATACCTGACAACAACTACTCTAAGTCATAACGTATCCAGAATTTCGTTATTAACAAGACTAGGCCTTTGCCCGCTAAAGACAGATCTTTGACTCTGCATCTATGTGTGGGCATGATAATAAACCACCCACTTCCACAAAGCGGACCAAACCAAACAGCACCATTAAGACACCAATTTACATATTGTTCATTGTTTGCAACAAATAACAGTAGTTTTAATCATATGAATTTCTTAACAACGACTTACGAAGCGAACCGTCCGCCTAGAAACTTTACCATGCGCATACGCGAAGACAGCACTATCCTCACAGCATATTATCAATATAACGTCAAAAGAGAGCCTGTAATTCGAAGTCCTACGTGTACTACTTCATCGCCACTTATTCACGACGAGTCCCATAGTCCATTTAGATCCCACAGCTGTCGTGACATACGTCTACTTCCATAGAATATGCGCATGCCACGGATCACCAATGCTACATACATCAGTGTGACTGCAAGATCTCTGTCCTCTCTCGATATAAGTAATTATTACTCACCAATAAAAATGGATATCCGAACACCTTATTATATGTTATACTATTTCACACCACACTAATCTAGATACAAAATATCCTCATTTTATTCATCTTTATGTGAGACATATAAACAATGTATTATAGGTCCTTTCCTCTCATCTGCTTCACTGTACTACTTGCAGGTGTGCGTGTATCAGTTTCGTGAGTCATCACGAGACTCCACGAGAACAATCCGCATCAGTTCAAGATATATATTCACTCAACGTATATTTACAAGCATTTCGATAGTATCAGATATAGTGATAATTAAACAATGTGTTTGCGCTCATTTTACACACCTAGTCGTTGCTATCTTACACAGCATTCTGCCGGTTCGCACAGGCCGCGATGTCTGGATCGGAGTATCAACAGTGATCCTCCTGTAACATGTATGTTCCGCCCCTAGGCAGCAGTTCTGTTTTGCCTTAGCGCAGGTGCCACGCTTGCAGCCTGGCGGGGGGAACACACATTGTCGCGGAAACAGGCCTTGAGCTGCTAGATGCTGTGTTCCGCTGCCGGCATGCGGTGCCGGCCTCCGTGCGGATGATGACCTGCAGATCGAAGAGCACGTTGCCACACCGGTGGCGCACTTGAGTCGCGCGTGCGCTGGAACGTGTGCGTCCGACGAGTGCCCGTTGCCAGAGCCGTGCTGCGACTGCGTGCGGTTGGAGCAAGCCAACGGCAGAGTGTGTGGCTGGTAGAGGCGGTGCCGGCGAGTCGCGCGCCGCGGGAGTACGACACTCGAGTACGTCCGCGAGCCGCTTGCGGTGGGCGGCGGTGAAAGCAGGGCGTGGGTGTTGCTGCGTATTGACACCGCCGTGTAGGCCAAAATTAGTTATCGCTGACTGAGCGAAGACGCTGCCGCCTTGGCGCTGGCGTGAGCGCTCGCACGAGTCGAGCCTAGTGCGCCCGTCTGGCCGCCCGATGCGTTACACGCTCGCCGCTGCCGCTGCCCATGGTCTCTGGGGAGAGCCGATGGTGGCAGGTCGCACCTGGTTTCGTACGCGCTGCGCCCATGGAGTTGGCTGATAGACGTCGGTTCTTTTGTGTTGTCGCGTGGGCGCGTTCGGGCATGCGGATGCCCTGAGTCCATGTAAGTAAGTAATAGCTGTTTCGCGGCTAGTGGGTTGAGATCTGTCTGTTTGGCTTGCTGACTAGACACGAGATCCATTATGGCCGCGTGACACGTCGCTTGCCTGGCTTGCAGTAGTCGTAGTCATCCAGTGCTGGACTGCGGTCTTGTCATATATCATGTCATCTGGGAGTTGCGTACAGCAGTGATGTGCGTGTGTGTGCGTGTGGTGTGTTCCGAGTAAGGGACTATGAGGCGGTGGGCGATGCGCTACGTAGGACAAGAATGAACAGAACGCGGGTCGATTGTCGCTCGTCTTGTTAGGCTCCGGGCCCTGTTTACCGCCCCTATGTCCCCTGTACCCAGTCGGCAGATTGAAGGCGCTACGAGTATGACTGCGAGAAGATGAGCAGTCCGTCGGAGCAGACGTGCGCGTTAGTGACATCCCTGGCTCAGTGTGGCGGTGAATCTCGGGCAGCCTAGCTGCTAGTGATGCAGGTTAGTAAGACCCGTCGCCCTGCGTCGTTCAGATCGTAGATGCTCTGGCCGGTCATTCTGAGAGCACGCAGATCTGAGTGTGCAGCCAACATTCGTTTCCTTCAGCCACTGGATCATGCCGACTTATCAACTCTAGACGTGGAAGACGTGGCGCTTGTCTGCGTGTTGCGCTTCGTGCTTGAAACGCACCGTTTCTTCCAGCGGCTCATCTTTGCTACGCAACAGCAGGAGCTCTAGCGATCTATGCGTCAGAATACAGCTTTCTCTCCACGCTACATTTCTCTACTCTTATACAGATAATCGTTATTCGTACAATACGATGACATATAGCTGACATACAAGTAGATTGAGTCCGTTATAAAAACGATATTTAGTTTCATTATCACCAAGTATTTACTATAAGATGACATGCCCAAGTATAAATTATGTTGAGCTAGTCGTCTATGCTGATATTGTAGAGCTTCTTGCGCAGATGTAACGAAGAAAGTCGGATGCCGCATGATACCATGATAGCAATCGCTAATTTGATCAAGACATGTGATTATTGTGTTCTGGGCCCTGTCGAGTTATAAGAGTTTGAAGACCACGCAATACTGACTGAGCTTCTATATATATGGAAGAGATTTCGATGGAAATCGTGTATCTATCTCGATAATACTCATGGTTTCGAGTTACCAAATTATCGCGAGAAAAGTAGTGTTTAGACTACTAATACAATCAATAATACATCTACAGTGACCGACATTTGTAGTAATTCGTGTGATTTACCGTACATCAGTATTAACTTCATAATGTAGTAGAGTGCTGCACATGAAGAGGAATTTCTATTATGAATTTTACCAAGATTCTACTATCACTTAATAACAAGATAAAATTATAAATATAGCTCACGAATTACGGTTGAGTCGGATTAAATTCTGAATCTACAATAGTGAGAGTGATGTCTGCATAGCATAAAGGTAACAACAAAAGTATCACATCCCAGCATTGAACAGACTGATTCGTGCAATACGAACATAACTGAACTTATTGTCTTATAAACCATAAGAAGTGATATG